CCTGAAGAATCTACACGCACTGGAAACATGAACACCCTCGACTGGCGGCAAAGTCAAACCCTGCGCGCTGACATCAGCAACGCCCGGTGGCTGACGTCTGCGAGGCAGGACCTGTCCTCGCGAATTGAAACATTTAAACCTGGGGTGACCATTCATAGGCCATCCAGCTGCTGCACTGCCTTACGCCATGTTCGAAGTTCAGATGTAGCGAGGGGACATGGACATGGTCGTCCGAGCAGAAATTCAGACTTCTTCAGACCGCGATGTTCCCCCAATTTGTCAGACCGAAGCCAATGTATTTCGGCGGGAGCAGCATGCAACGAAACCAGAAATTTGTGCAAAGGCAGATGCAGGGATTTCGGAGATCTGGCACGATCACGTCTTCACTTGGTGGGAGAAGTGCTTCAGCTGAGGAATATGAATGATGCAGCATGATTGTCTTGAACCTCCGGACAAATTCCTGCTGGTAATTGGCCACAGCATGCCCAACATCCAAGCAAGTATGCGACAACATCCATGAGCTTTGACTGTCGATCTGAGCAGCCTGTTTGCACCGTCTACATGTGGCGTTTAGACAGATCTGTCAGTTGGTCAACAGCCGGCTCTAGCAAATCTAAGTACAATACGCCGGTTGCATCGGATGTTACTGCTATGGCAGCACCGCTACGTCTGTGGTGGACCTGCCTTGCAAGCCCTCGACACAGCTCAACTAAAACCGTCACGTCGATAGTCCGCGCTTCAGCCTGCAAGCACAACGCTGGTTTGTCACGCAGATTAGTGGAGGTAAGAGGTAGCCGGGTTTGGAGTGAGACTGCAACCGCCTCAACTTCAGAGAAGATGGGGGATCTTCCATATCCATATTCCGGGCTTGAGAAAACAGAGCTTGTCACATCAAAACGAAGTCTTCAGCATCCGTGCCTGTCTGAAAGCCGCCTGCAGGTGGATGCTGCCGCTGACGGCAGACCTGAAGCCAAGGCGTGCTGGAAGGGATTGTGTGTGGTTTTGTGTGAGGTTGGGATCCTTGCTGACGGCTATGGGATCACGTGAGCTATGCCAGCGCACATGCGCAGTTTCTCCCACTGTCAAACCCCGAGAAGCTGCCTCCTCCTCCAATAAGCCAGCAAGGACGGGGCTGAAGCGACGACAATTCGTGATGCAGCCTGTGGCCTGTCAGATGGGATTGTAAGCAGCAACTAACGAAATTGGCTTTCATTCTTACTGTAGTCTGATGCTCTCGGGTTTTGGAACAAGCCTGTTCGATTGAGACATGCTCGAGCGCAACCACTTGATCTTGCGCGGACCCAAAACCTGTGTTCTCAAGGCCTGCGACGTGCTCATTCTCAAAAGCGCTTTCAGCAAATTGCGCCTCGGCTGCTCCAGTCTACAACTCACAGATACTACATAAAGCTGCTGGTTTGGTCCGTGTGTGTAACTATCCTGCCTGACCCAACGGTCACGCCAGTGGCAACGACACCACTTCAAGTAGAAAGCTCACAACAAGTTTCAAGCCGTCACACCAGTCGGCCAAAAATCCTGAGGCAAACAGCCTCAGCACCATGAGCCAAGTGTCTGCTTGGTTGGTGGAATGCTCGGTGCACATTCAGGAAGCGCACGACCTTGGGGCATCTTAGGTCCGGGTGAAAGCAAATCTTGATTGCTGAAGTTACCTGCAAGACGGAAGAAGACGAACCGACTACAGCAGAACCGAATGAATAAGAACAAAACTTCTGACGGCAACAACTATATACCGAACCTAAATTACAAGCAGCAGATGCACGCCAAAAGCCTACAAATAAATGCACAAAACCTTCAAAGTGTAGCCCAGCAGCAGCGACCGAGCACCAGCCGTTCCATCTCAAAAACCTGGCCTGGGCACTGCGGAAATGTTCGAAACCCGAACAGGTCTGAAGATTGGCGAGAACAGGGTGGACTTTTCGGCTTTGCAGATTTCTGTCACATGGGGGAGCTTTGATGCTGCGCGAGAGTCGCGGTTATCCTGAAAGGCCGGAGCAGCGGAGCTGTCAGCGATGACGGTGCCGGTCCCAACGTCTCTACGTCGGGTTGGCACATCTCCGTGCCAACGCACGTGGGGTGAGGACAACCATTGCATTGGAATCAGCACGCATGCACGTACAACAACCGAGTCATCACAGGAGCTTACTCTACTTCCCTTTAGCATGCTCGACATGACCTTTGCCATGTGCCTTTGCAGAACTGATTTTCGACAAAGTGGCTGGACCAGCCCTCCTGCGACTTGGCCTCCAAGACCATCAACAAAGTCCTGAAGTGTCATCTCCGTATTTCTTTGTTTGCATCTGCATAACTTATTACATAAACCTGTAAGTGATAGGTAGCTAGGTGGACCGATAGACAAACAAAACGGAAAGAAACACATGGATGGATAAGGCAGCCAAGCACATAGCTGGGTAGATATACCGGTTGGCGCATAGGGAAGCTAGACTCTGCATACAGCCATCCACGTAACTTTGCGTTTGATTTGTTCTGTTTGTGCCCTCACCGAGCTCCAATGTTTTGATCTCTCTTTCTCTCTGTCGTAGCATGGAACTTGTGGATTGTGTCGCTAGTGACCGGGGGCCGCGAAGACACACGAGCAGGAACAATTGCGTGGCCCAGGCTTGCCCAACACCTCCCTCTTGTCCCAGGAACAGTTCCGGTTGAGAGAACTCCATCTGCCCCTCTGACTTTGCATGCGGACGCAATGTACCTACTCTGATTTCAGAAAGTCATGAAGTAAGGTTTCGAATCCCAGCTTGCGCACCTAAACTCTTTTCTGGTCGCAATTTCACACTGTCAAGCACATGGTACAGCAGAAAGTTTTGTGTCGTCAAAGATCTAGTGGGTACAGTGGAAACCTTCAAGTGCTCTGCCGCTCTGGCACCCAAGATCAGGACTCCCAAGAACTCTTGGACTTAATCAAGCACTTCGTAGTTTCGTCAATGGGCATTCACATCAAAATATAGACGATGGAAGGCCGAGAAGAAGAAAGGCAAACTTCACAACCTGTATGGCTGAAGCTCGATGGTCTCAGCACCCCGCCATGTGGCAAGTAACATCCTGAATATTCAATTTCTCAAATCTCGACCGAGCGACACCAGCAACTCGCGCTCAGAGAGGCTTCCCAGCCAACTACGCTGCGTCCTTTGCTACGATTTCGCTGCAACGATTGTAATGCAATGCATGTGGGTTGTTTTGTTGAAGCTTCAGGGTACGCACCCCCGCTGGGTGGCCAAGCAACATGCTTGTGAGAATCCCGCACATGGCCTTCCGGATTGGGCCCAAGGCTCTTGTCCAAGCGAACTCGCTCGTGGTGGAAATGGCACATCTGGCAGCCACCCAGGCGTTGGCAGTATCCGCTCTGAAAGTAGGCCTGGGGGCAAATCACAGCTTTCCGACGTCAGTCTTCGACGGATGCAGTTCTTCAAGATCGGAGCATCAAGCATGTCGCGCGTATAGCTGCTTATGTAATGCTCAAAAGCTCTGCTGCCCGTGGGGTTGGCTATCTTGACCGTGGCAAGACACGCAAGGGCGCGAGCAAAACTCTGGATGACCACCAGATCCGGGATTGAACTCGAAGTCGTCTCCATCCACCCTTGCCTGGAGACCTTGGACCATTCAATTCTCATCGAAGCTCGTGCCTGGCATGTAAGCAACTTGCATGCGACCCGGCAAGCCCTCTGGAATACACCCTATTGCGACCACGTAGCGTCGAACATATGCATGTAGCCCATTTGGTGGGTTTGCCTCCGAGGCAAAACGCAATGTGAACACAATGTCAGTTGAGACCGTCGCAGCTGCCCTCTACGGCCCTGACCTCGTTCCACGAAGCCGAACCGTCGGGCGGTGGCAGACTCTTCGTCCGCTCCTCCGAGTCGTTAAGACAGCACGGGACCTACTTGGAACCCCTTCATTGAACTGCGCAATCAGCAGCTCCCAACCGGAACACCGCACTCAACACAATGGAAGTGCCTTTCAGAAGCAGCTTGGAAAGAGCGAGGCTCAATCTGACAGTCCTTCTTTGACTGTTTCTCTTTCACACGTAGGAATGTATGCCTTAGCTGCAGTGTCGACAATACAAACTTACAATGCCTACAATCAGGTCGTCCAGCTTCGCGTAGCTTCGCCTATTTCCGACGAGACATACTCGCAAGATCAGCATTTGTCTGGGACCAGCATCGCGTTGTTTTTCAGCAAAGTGGAGTCCGGGGGGCTGTAGCGAAAGCTCCATGGCGCAGCGGATCCTGGTGGCCTCGTCCCCTATCAAGGGTACCAGTTACAGCCGTGATTCTGCGTCTTCGGCCACAAAAGAGCTTCGGTGCGCGGGCGAGTGTAAGGCTGAAGTATCAAAGCTGTTGGGAAACATCAGGTGGAATCTCGACTGGCGCTTGGCAGCAAAGACCCAACCCTTCCCAGGACAGGTACTACATGCAAATTCTCAGCCCGAGGGCGCCATCCACTTCCGGGCTGTCAGGAGCTTTCTCCATGGCGCCACACAAAAGGGCCAGGACAGTTCGACGGTCGGCTTTCGTGTTTTGAAGATGCTCATCACAATTATGCTGTCCAAAAGAGTCGTTTCCACCAAAGTGTTCAAGTCTTGCAGGACTGGCTCACAGTAAAAGGATTCCTGCCAGAAATGCATCCTGTATTTAGTTGCATGGGACTGCCGCTATGGTCAAGCCTCCGGTCCTTCCGAGCGCCACGGAGTCGCAGGCGCTTGTCGACACATTTCGTGGATGTCCGCTGCATGCGCATTAAGATCTTCGACCTCAAAACCTACCTGCCTGGATAAACCGAGCATGCTACTGTCTCAGACGCGGTACACATGTTGTACCTTTTGCTAGCCGACGTGATAAGCAATGGAAGATTTCTAGCCTGCACCTTTGGAATTCAAGGTAACAGCACGAATGCCGAATAGTCATGGAATCCGCAAACTGGCTTGCAGGCAGCTCTCACTGAAACAACCACAAACGCCGCGCGGGAACCTTTTTGAACTTTGAAGCTGGACAGGAACCGGCTGCTGGGACCTGATCTGAGACTTCTGGCGAGTGTGCGAAGCTTCAACAGCCGTGCTCAACAGGACGGTGGCTCCTGTTCCGATGGGTCGGCTGAGCCGGATACCCTTGCAGGCAAACTGCAGCTGGCCCTAAACAGGCAAGGCTTTCCTGCTCCTGGCCTCGCAACACAACCGGGAAGCATGTTCGGAGTTGGACCTGAGCAGTTTGCGGCCTCGGAGCTAGTCCCCCTGAAACTTCCCAATGCGTGAAACGTTTCGCCCCTCTGAACCTAATTCGCAGAATATGTGGCCTCCCTGCAGGAGAAGAAAAGCGAGCAGTAGTTCTAGCATCCAGCTGTCACATGCGGCGGTCATGCGTGTCTCAGCGCCGCGCACCCCCAGCGATCGTCTTTCGATAGCATCAACACCTGAGGTTCGGAGGTTCTGTAAGCATCCCAGAGCTCAAAATGACAGCTGCGCACCTCGCCTACACCTCGCAAGCTTACTCGGTGCATTTTCCTCTTTTCGCAGTGCGAAGCAACTTCCACGGACGGAGCTTGTAAACACTGACTTCATTGCACTGTTGTGATGCTCATGATAATGTTCACTATCTGCACGGTCAATGTTATGTTGATGGTTCGCGAATCACGTTGTTACTCTGATGACTTCTTGCCCCAGAGGCTTTCTATGGTCCATCGTTTCACTGGCCCGTCGCAATCGTCGTCATGCGCATCATCATCATCATCATCAACAACAATATTTTCGTCCTTGTCTGATCATTGTCCATAAGACCTGCTCAATACTTGCACTATCGTGCTGTTAACTGTTGCATTCGTTTCTCGCTACAGAAGCAGGGTTAGTCGGTGGTATTCCAAGTAGTACTCATCGCTTCTCCCTGACATTAAAGCCCCCCTAATATTGAAACCTCCGGCCCTCGAAATTTTTCGGTTTCGGGCCAACAATTTGATTGAAAGTTAAGTACAAACACTGGGGGGGAGCTACGACTGTATGAGTTTTTATTAGAGCCAGGACTACACAAGTACTAAACCCAAAGGACCAGGGCTTTAGGGTTTAGGGCGTCTGGCTTAATTAAGGTTTAGTGCTTAGGGCTTTAGGGTTTAGGTTTTACGGGTTTAGACAGAACGAAACGTTACTAAACCCCTGATATTCAAACCGGGGCCCGGAAATCAGGTTTCAATAATAGGGGGAGGGCGGAGGCGGTGTAACATTAGGGGGAAGGGATTGATTAGTGAGTTTACTCTTGCTACTGCTCTCGCAAAACCAGGGAGATGTTGTCCTATAGCTGTACGTATCTATGTATGCAATCAACTGTATGTGTGTGTGACGTTCTGTACTCACCGTGGAAGAATAGTAGGACACCTGGCATCTCATGACCGGATTGTATTCCTTTATCCGTCTAAGCTCCAACGGTGCAAGCCTTTGTCCCTGCAGTCCTAATCTACGTGACGGTCGGTGTGAAACTCGCACGGGACTGGGCGGCAAAAATCCCTGCACGCGGTCAACATTCTTACGATCCTAGCCTGCTTTTCAACACAGTTCGTGAGCTCGAAGCCAAGCACTTCCGATCAGCCCAGTTCCACCCGAGACGCCTGTACAAGTTGCGAATCTCGGTAAGTGTCTCAAACCTCGTGAAAACATATGTGTAAACATCAAAGGTGCTCCTGACCTTCAGGCCACCCTGTGCAAGCTGAACATATGTCGTCCGGTGCACAAGCACGGAAACAAATTCCGAATCTTCAAAATAATTCGCCATCTGGCAAAAAACGCTCCAAGCGATTGCAAAGATGCAAAGCGATCTCCGACTTTCAGACGATGACCTGAGTCAGTGGTAGGGAGGGAAGCGAAGCGCCACAGCCGTGAGCCTCGATATGGCGTGACCCAGACGGATGGATGGCATCTCAAAAATGTGGAATTCTGCCCGCGCAGACAGCCAACAGTGTGAAGAGCACCTACAAGTCGAAGCCCCACATCTCCGAGAAGTTTTACAACACCCCAGTTGCTCTCCATTAGTCAAAAACGTGCACCACCCGTGGCGGCAGAACGGCATCCCCTAACATGCACGGCACTGAGGTGGAAACGCATGGCGGGCAAAGCGATGTGGAGGGAGGCAGAAGCCCACAGGACTGTGGCATGAGCATGAGTGCCCACTTTAGAGAATAGCAGGACTTTCGGGACTTCGAATGATTTGAAGGCCCACATGAGAACGGAACTCTGGCCTGAGCGCGGTTTCCACTGTGAATACGGCAGACACTGTGGCAAGAGTGGGATACACCAAGCGCAGAAGAGCTAGCTGCGAATTCGGTGCCGCCGGCCCGTGCAAGGCCGCGGAGAAAACACGATTTGTCATTGAAATTTCAGTACTGCGCCGCAACGGGGCGCTTCGCGAGCAACCGCCAAAAGAAGAACACCCAGTCTCAGCGCGAGCATAGCATCATGGTAAGCCCCCAGACCGATGAAATCTCCTGGATCTACTACTCTACAAAAATCCCGACCTCGACCTGAGACATGTAGGATTGGTGCAGCGTAGACAGTGTACAGGTTGAAGCTGATGGCGCATAACTCATGAATCATCCCTAAAACCTCCATGAACCCTTGCCTGCTCCACGTCACCCCGGCACAAAGGGCAGGTTCGAGCCACCTCTCAGGGCCAAGGAAGCTGTAAACACCAGGTCCTGAAACCAAAGCCACAGAAGGGACCGAAGGGACTGCAGGACTTGCAACGACTGCATGTCCGGACTATGCTATGATGCGATGAAGCCTGCCTGAAACCAGCCGGACAAACAGCTTCTGTGAAAGACGTGGTTGCAGGGCATCTTGACAATCTCCTTCTCAGGGACAGAAGTCAGGAGTCTGCGTAGGCAAGATCTTGGACATAACTGGAGGTGGCATACGGCAAGCATCATTCAAGGAATCATGCACACAGAATTACTGTAGCGGTGCGTGTCAACTAGCGCGCAGATCTGCCGCCCGCACGAAACAGCCGCGGAAAGCAAGACTGTGAGAATCCCTCGGCACCTTCTGCGCAGTGAAGGTTTCCAAGCAGACCGCGCAGGACGCAGGAAACTCTCCCCGGCCGTCCTGGCAAAACCTGCAAAGCGCAAAGGAGAAAGAGAAGCTGCGCCAAGACGCTAAGAAGACTGAAGTCAAAATCAAAAGCATTCTGCTGTGCGGCCAAGGCCTTCCACTGTCAAATTCCACGGCTGGAAGACTTTCTACGGCGCCCTGCAAGCTGCAGGCATCTGCTTTCCCTCATCCTAGATGTGTTCCGCATAGATGTTCGGTCATGTTGTCTGGTCCCTAAGCTTCCGCATGACCTCCGGTGCGGCTCCAGGCATGCGTGGCAGCCGGAGGCGGCCGCTGCGGATAAGGCAGAGAACCACCTCGGGTCGCTCGGTGTACAACGACGACCACGACCACGACCACGACCACGACAACGACCACGACCACGACTACGACTACTGCTACTGCTACTGCTACTGCTACTTCCACTGCTACTGCTACTGCCACTGCCACTGCTACTGCTGCCGCTGCTGCTACTGCCACCACGTACTCCCAGTCCTGCTCATATTTCCTCTGGGACTGCCACTGCTACGGCTACTGCTACAACCACCACAGCTTCTTGGAAACAAATTTTGCAAGCCGCCCCCAGAGCCACTGCTGGGAGCACTAGCACCACGATGACCTCAGATGCCAACCAAACCGATAACTTTGAGGCCTTGAGTCATGCAGCACCTTGAAGTGTAGGCGTGGGGACGTCACGCCAAGGCAGCGACAAGGATCAAATAGTATCCAATGATCCTTGCTCGCGGGGAGAGAGAGCGCGAGAAAAAAAACAATTGACTTGCAACTGTCCTCTCTAATCAAGCGGCACTGCCACAGCCGTCGTCAAGGCTTTGCTGCAGTTCTTGCTCTGGAGCAGCATCACACCTCGTCAAGCTGGACACCCCACAGGTGCACGATGCAGAGCTCTGCACTGGTCTTGTACGAAGCCTGCCACGAGTGGCCAAAGCACCGCGGCGGACACTGCCAGAGCCCGGAAGACACGCACTCGGAGCGGCTCGGGAGGACCATCCTGATGAAATCGACGTGACTTGGGCTTCGGGCTGTCTTGACGGACAAACGCCCAAGAAGAAAGTTGATGGCTTGGGCTTCAAGTACACAACGTGGAGACAAGAGCAGCAAAGACACCGGGGAAGTGACTTACCTCGCAGTCAAGCATGATTAGATTGTTTTGGTACAGACGCACTTCAGATGTGGGCGGAGAAACCGAAAATCGGAAACATCAGCCATCAGCCTCGACCGCATCGTAGCACAAGCAGTGGCGAGAGATTGCCTGTCCAAAATCCGGGCTGCACTGGAACGTAGTGCGCAGTCAACCGGACCTTCTGCATCGTTTGCACCATGACGACGACGAAGATAAGCCTACAAGGACTCACAAGCTTGGCTAGCACGCAGTCATCTTACATCCAACATTTCAAGCAGACAGTGACTTCAGACAGTCTTGTTCAGCAGTTGCCGCATGGTTCCGTGCAGCGCGTCTCCCTCCCAACACTCAACATCGCAAGACATCCAAACCGTGCTTGTGCAAGGGGGCCTTATCATCAATGCAAGGGGCTGGTCACACGAGTCGAACTCCTAAGAGCAGCAGCCAGCAGAACGCACCACTGCTTAGAATGCCGCAGACAAATGTCGCGGCTGCCGAATGTGCTGCTGAAAGCATAGCATTAGAGCACCTAAACCCTGAATGTCATGTGATCATCACGCCAAAAATCCAGAGATGTTCTTTTTCGGGGGGAGGCTGTTTCCATGCCACAACAGATCAACGACATCGTGAGCAGTCAAGGCACATGGCTGGAGAACACCATCTGAGACCTGCAACACGCTGGACTACGTGCATGCGTCGCGATTGTATAGGGCATCAGACACAGCCTACCCAAGCGAAATGCACAATAAAAGATCAATGCAGCCAAAGTTCCAGAAAAGAATCAGCATCATCCCTGTCAACAGCATCACCACCGTGCCTGAATAGCAGAGACATGCTGCCGCGACCGGCTGCAATTACAAACCTCTGAGAAGCTTTCTTACAGCTATGCGGGCAAGCCAGAAAGTCAGATGGTGCCTGGAACCTGGCAAGTGCCATGTACTTCTACTATTTTCTGGCTGGTGCCGAGCGAGAACTGTGGCTTCGCCACATGCTGCCTAACCATTCCAGGCTACGAGTCCACGTGACAAAGAGGTTCAGAGATCTCCAATCCAAGATGCACATCACCAGCCGCGAATGCCGCGCTAACGCAACGTTCATCACCTTCCGTTCAGTACACTCATAGATGCAGGAAAATGTGTTTGCTGCGAAAGTTCGTCTGCCATATCAACACTCGGTCCCGCCTGTTCCAAGTTGGTACGCACG